CATCCTGGTCTGTCCATCGTATGACCATTCACATGGCTTGTATTTCATATCTGCAGACGGCTGCTACTGCAGCCTATGAGCTCAGAAGCCAATTAGCCGACGCACAACAAACAGTCGAGCAATTGGAGACGACTCTGCGTGACCTTAAGGTGTGTGACGTGTGCAGTTATGTTGACTTAATGATATTGTGTGAGTTTAGGCTCGGTGGTGCATGTGCGTGTTGTACATGTAAACGTTTATGCTTAGGATCAGAGGGAGCGCTCAAGTACTGTTTGGTGGGTGTTCGGTACATGATCCCATACAGTAAAACTGAACAGAAGTGTGAGATTAGCGATTTGTAAATCGGCGTTGGTTTTGGCGTCAACGTTTTGAAGTGTCGGTTGAAGCAAAATGTGGTACACACCAACGTATAGGATTATAAACGTATATTGTAAACGTTCTATTGCAATGGGTAGTCTAATTCACGTTTTCTGTGGTATTGGCTGTATCTGGGTTCTTATCTCCGAGTGGAGTCGATACTTCTGGATAGCCCCATGACACTATCATGGACGGGTTTGTATCCCGTGATCAAAGTGTAAACGTGCACCGCTAAACGTGGATAATAGAGTGCGCCGTACATGTGTACTTTCATGCACATACGTGCCTACATGTGTGCCATGTGTGTAGGTGTACTCGTGTGCATATAGTTACATATGCTCACATATGTACGCACAGATCGAATGAACCCTAAAACCCTACGACGCAGACCATGCGTGTGCAGTGCTGTCCAAGTTGCAAGTGCCTAGCACCCCGTCTCACTCGGCTGTCCCACACATCAGGAGAGACAACATCAAGAGGCGCAAGCACAAACATTGGACACTGGACTGAAGAAGGAAGAGCTGGAGACCATCGTGCAGCAACAGACAGACACCATCGCGGTAGGGTGGCGTTGTTGTTCTCTTTTTTTCTTTAGGTTTTAGGGTTTAAGGTTTGGTATTTTTAGGGATGGAGTTGTTTTAAGTTTGAACCCGAAATGTTTAAGTTGTTATAAGTTGAATCGCTAAACGGTTACGTTGTTATGGTCTACACGTCTTCATTCAGAGAATCGATTTCTGTGTACTCGGAAGTTATGTGGTGATTGGAATAGTCCCTTAGTCCACTATACGTATTAATGTACACACACACTTGCACCCCAGTATAAATTACATAGCACACACACACATGCACGTTAACATAATCTATATAGCACACTCACACATGCACCCTAGTATAAACTATATAGCACACACACACATACACCCGAATATAAACTATATAGCACACACACACATGCACGTTAACATAAGCTATATAGCACACACACACATGCACCCTAGTATAAACTATATAGCACGCACACACATACACCCGAATATAAACTATACAGCACCCACACATATACACCCGAATATAAACTATATAGCACACACATGTACACCCGAATATAAACTATATAGCACACACACACATACACCCGAATATAAACTATATAGCACACACAGCTATCATAACAGGAAGCTCATGTAATCACTTGCACTGCGATGTTCCCAAATGGTATCAGGAGCTGACGTCCAATATTGATGATCTGGAACAGAAGGCGCAGAAGTATCACAACCGAATGGCTGTGCTTGAAGGGGAGGTGTGTGCATACGCATTGCATAGCGTTTGCCTACCTCATGTGTCCATGTTAATATTACTTACAACAGCAGTCCATGTTTATATTACTTACATCAGCAATCCATGATAATATTACTTACAACAGCAGTCCATGTTAATATTATCTACAACAGCAATCTATGTTAATATAATCTACAACAGCAATCTATGTTAATATTACTTACAACAGCAGTTCACGTTAAAATTATTTACAAATGTAGTCCATGTTAATATTACTTACAACAGCAGTCCATGTTAATATTACTTACAACAACAGTCCATGTTAATATTACTTTTAACAGCAGTCCATGTTAATATTACTTTATCAGCAGTCCATGTTTATATATCTTACAAGAGCAGTCTATGTTAATACTAA